TAAAGTTAGTCCCAAGTGTAGGCAGCCATGTGACCAGAGGCTGGAGCTCCCCACACTGGCCACAAGGGCATGTGGCAGGCTGCACATGTAGATGCCAGCCTATTTCTGCTTACTGCATAGTAACTTACTGTGCAGTAAATTTGACTTGGTTTAAATGCATGTGTAGATATGCCCACTATGTGATACAAATCAGTTAACATGGCTTAGAAAATGCTGAGCACATCTTCAAATAGTCAATGATGTCAGTGGAACTATTTACAAATGTAGTTTTGTCCATGTTTCTGGGTGTTTGAGGACTAGTTCTTAAGAACAAATAAGATTTCAATATTTTGAAGAAGACTATAGCAATGAGAAAAGCATAGGGTTACCATATTCCCAGTTCCAAAAAAGAGGATGCCTGTTGGGGGTGACACTTCAGTCCCCACCCACAGCCTCCTGTCCCTGTTGCTGGCCCTCACTCCTGCCCCACAGTCCCTCTCTCCACCAGCCCATGTTGGTGTGCCCCTCAATCCCAACCTGCAGGCCCCTGCTCCCCACAACCCTCCTAGAGGGGGCTCCTAGTTGCCCTCATCCCAACTGGGCTGGACCACAGTGGCTCCTATTTGTGTGAGCAGTGGTGGAATAAGTCAAACCCTGGCACAGGCAGGAGGGAAGAGGGGTTGGCTCCAGCACTATGCCAGGCTGCCTGGCATAGTGCCACCTGCCACCCTCCCCCCACACCCTGGGCAGCATCTCCCAGCCAGCCTGACCCCACCAGCCCCTGTGCCAGTGACCCAGCCATGCAGTTCCCCACTGCTTCACAAAGTTCCCTGCTGCCCTCAAAGGCCCCCTGACCCCTTCCCCCACTGGAGGGGCAGGCACTGCCCCCATGTTCCCTGCCTTGCCCTGTCCTGCCTTGCCCTGGCACGCAGACAACTTCCCCCAGTGCTGGCAGGCACCTGCCCCTTCTCTCACACCCATCCCCTCCACACACCCTTGCCCCCCAAACCTGACAATCCCCAAGCCTTGGCTATCCAACCCCCACTACCTACACACTTACCTCCACCCAGCTGCTAGGGCTGCTCCCACTATCCTGCCAGGTGGTATGTTGGCCACGTGTGTGTGCATGCAGAGGCATGTGCACCTGCTGTTTCCAATCACCCTCTCCTTGGTCCTGCCAATGGAGTGGAGCAAAATCCCAGACATTGGTTCAGATTTCAAGAAACTGCCTGGACGGAGATTGGAGGGTCCAAAAAGAGGACATGGCTGAGAAAAGCTGGATGTTTGGTAACTCTAAAAAAGAATACATTTTCCAAGCCACACTTTTATCTTTCTATTCATGTATAAAAAACAAAAACTTAATTACAGTGTCCACATTTTGTTCTTCATTTTCAGAAGGCATTTTACTTTGAGGAGTCCCTTCTTCATGCTTGCAAGTACACACAGGGAAATCCCATGCAAGATTGGAACAGGCTAGCTGCTCAGAAGCATCATGAGAGGTTGTGGAATCTCCATCCCTGGAAATTTTCAAAAGCAGACACTTGACTGGAATGACTTGGACAGATGATCCTGCCTTGAGCTGGAGTCTGGACTAGATAATCTCATAAGGTCCCTTGCAGCCATTTTTTCCTATAACCCAATGATCCTATATTTTTCCACCAGTCTTTCTACTTGTGCCAGTACTTTTTCCACCAGTACCAACATCAGTTGTTCATAAGTAATTCTCCCCCATCAATCTACTCAGATACACTGTCCTAGCATTATCAGTTCTTAAAGCTATTCTGCTTAGAAAGGTATTGCAGGGGAAGAGCACTACACCAAGACCATCTGCTGGTCAGTACATTTTTGTATTCAGCTAATTACTGTCTATTTCCTCCTGTTGAAAACAAAATCTATAAACCAGGGTTAGACTAGAGAACAATATCACCTATACTGGAGTACCCAGGGTTAACTTCGTGTGTACAAAGGAGTTTCCCTGTGGAGTAGACATAGAAAATAGGGCAGGAGACTGTTTGAGGCATGTGATAAACCACTGTGGGAATTTAATATGATTAAGCAAGGCCAGATAGCAGAGATTCAATGTAGCGAAAAATCCGTGTAGGCTTTTTTGTATCTCTCGTGTTTCATGAATCAGTTGAAATGGAGATTATTCATTAGGAATTGCTACCTATCCTGAAATTGGATAAACGACACCTCGCAAGTAAGAGATTATGCATGGACAGGGGAAAAAAAATAGCATGGACTGATTTTTGTCCATTGCTTGGGAAGACTGTTATATAACAAGCTCACTGGAATCTCTGTATTACACACTAACTTAAAACCAGACTGATGTGGACTGCGAAAGTGTAGGGCTCGATATTCTCCAGAACATGCTTCTCTACAACTTCTCAGAAATCTTTCCTATGATACAATATGTCCCATTTCCAGAGGTGATTCAATGTAAACTATGGGTCCTCAACCTCCTAAACCGAAGCTCTTAGTGTCACAAGTAAGGCCTACTGAAATAGTGGCATGCAAAATTATAGGCCAGTTTTGAAATTTTTTAATTTTTCCATGTACTTCATCCCTTAGCAGGTAAATACAAAAAATATAATTAAAAAGGGGGGGGGGGGTTGTTTGTTTTTTTAAATCCAGAAATGTAATTTTAAGGCAAGGATTTAATTTTTTAAAGGCTTTCTACAGGTTTGAATTTATGAAGTTGCTACTGTTGATTCTATAGGAGTGGATAACCTCTGTCAAAAAGCCAATTTATTTTTTCCATGTGACATGATCAGGCTGAATATGAGTCATGTGATTTGTCAGCAAAAATTGCTGCTGGAGGCTTAGGAGCATCCCAGAGATCAGGAATACCACATTTACCAAACAATGGATGCTTAACATATCTCAAACCCCTATAAAAGATCACTATTCTAAAAGTGCAGTTGCACTTTTCTGTGCTCTTTCCCACTGATCTTCCTGTAAAAGTAGAAGCTGATTTATAATCTCATCAGACCTGAGGTTTACCTGGTAGCAATTTGTATGACTTGCACACAGAGTGCTGGCATGATTTCTGAAAACCCAGTTGACCTCTCTGCACATAAAGGGGCTAACTGGAGGAATAGTAAATGTAGAAACACCAATCTTGTGTGAAGAATCTGCACACATCACTATTTTAGGCATGAACAAAGGCTGCTAAAGAAGGCTGAAACCATCACAGAAGTAAAAATACAACTGCCTCAATCAGCTCAGTTACCTGCTACCCTGGCTTTTCCCAGCATCTTACTACTTTCTTCCAGTGATGAATGATGAGATTTTGGTTATACCACTCTCACTTGCACACAGGCAGAACGGCACTGTGAAAGGAAATTATTTGACTCCTGGAATTTTTTTAAACAATAAACATGCTTTTAATTCTGCTCTTTGTAGTGTTCTAAGTCAATTTAGTATTTAACATCAGGGATCAAATTGGAAGCATCAGTGTCTGGAATCGTATGTCAGGTGGCCAGCTTTTCTGTGAGGTTTGCCAGCTATCTCCATCAACATGGAGGGTGGGGAGGGCAATCCAGTGTCCTGATTCAGTAAGTCCATAGGCTGTGTTCAGATTGCCACTAGGGGTGTCCACTGGCATCAAGGATGATTGAGTTTCTGTGATTTCCAGTGGGAAGTCAGAGCAGACCCTCAAGGAATCTTGATCCCATCTCAGCACTCTATGCACACTATTTCTAGCACTTGGAGAAGAAGGTGATTAGGAACAGTCAGCATGTATTCACCAGGGGCAAGTCATGCCTGACCAACCTGATTGCCTTCTATGATGAGGTGACTGGCTCTCTGGGTGAGGGGAGACTGGTGGATGTGGTGTACCTTGATTTTAGCAAAGTTTTGATATGGTCTCCCACAACATTCTTA